AAGGAGACAAGAAAATGGCAAGATAATATCCTCATGAAATTCCTCCATTGCCCAAATTTGACTCTCTCTAAACATAGACCAAACGCTCTATATGATGCATTTATAAAGACCAATATTTTAGGGGCAGATTATATACTTGCTCTTGCGCGAGCGTTATAAAAAATAAACCATCTTATCTAGTAACAGATATAACCTGAGTCATCACACTCAAGGTTAATTTTTTCGTTATATCTATGTATTATTAAATTTCAAATCGACAGATCTGACCCAAGGCATTGGTGTGTACCATGTACTTGGCATATATCGATTATTTTTTCCAGGACCTCTTTGAGTATTGCTATATCCTCCTTGATACCTTCTATATTTCGCGCAATCTTATTTCGTAGAGCTACGGATTCTAAAACCTTCGATCTATTCCGTGTCTTGTTCGCGTCCATTTTCCGATAGAATTACATTAATTATGACCCATTCAATTTTTGGGCATAGCTATACTGACCTGGGATAATTAATTTTCGATTTGAAAGAATAAGTAGGTTAATGTATAATCACAATCTACTTATCGATATATATACTATTTTCATACTTATCATGGCAACTGTTCGAAAAACCAGAAATCCCAAAACTAATAGCTTTACCTCTATTTTGGATCAGTTCCTAAATAAATATAACCTATCAGCTGAATCAACCCCACTTCAATTATGTGCCCATGCTGATGAGCTTAATGCTATGCTTCCAAATTGGAAGGCTCGTAAAGCTGTGAAAGAGGCCCTTCGCTAACGTTCATTCAGTGAAGATCAGATAAAGGCTCTCGTGCCAGACAAAAGAAAAGAAAAATTTACTATCAAGGAAAGGGCTCAGCGTTTTGCTGAAAGTGGGGATTTATTTGATATATATGTTGATACTTTAAAATTAGTTAAGACGAAAAATGATAGTGATAAGGAAATAGTTGCTTCCAGCTTACGTTATTCATTGTATCGTAAGGAATTGGAAAATGCTGGAGTCGATCCCAAAATAATTTCGTTAGCCAAGAATCCAGAAATTACTCGAGCTTCTAATAAAATACAGAAAAAGCAACTTGAACGGGAATTAATCAGTCGACCTAAAACACCTAAACACTTCTCTTTAGAAGAGGGGCTTAGAAGACTTCAGAATATCCGTATCACTGAGACCCCCACTCTACAAAATCTCGCAGATACGATCATGATGTTGAGCATGAGACCCGCTGAAGTAACTACTCTTCGCATTATCCATTATGAGCCTGACGAATCAAATCCTCCCGAATGGTATAATCCCGATTACTCTTGGTATTGTACTGGGTATATTAAAAATAAAGGAGAAGCAAAAAACAATCCTGAACCTCGACCATTCCTATCCATGAAAAAGAATCCAGAACGTGCAAGAGAGTTGCTTACCTGGATCCAAAATGCAATAGCAATTGGAAAGTTGCGTGATCCTGTCTATAGTATTAATGGAAAACGCAGTACAAGAGTATTTAGTAAATTTTTAAAACCATATGGTATTACAGCTAAAAGATTAAGAAAAATCGGAGGTAAACATGCTTCTAGAGTTCATAGTGGTCAAAATCCAACTTCACAACATCTTGCTCTCCTCAGCAGGATTGCAATGAGGCATAAGATAGATCGTCATGATTCTGGAATGTATTATGCTGAGGGTGATACTTCGGATTCTGATCTTGACTCAGATCTAAAGCCTGAACCTGAAATTCGAGCTTTTATAACTAAGCCAATTGATAAAAATACTTCTACATCTGAAGTCGAGGATATCATTGATTTGTATGGTAAATTTTCTGATGATGGGAATTAATCGTGCTTCTTTGATTTTGCAACTGGCACATTCACACTAAAATCTTTATCATCATTAGACGATTCAGACTCAGATGAGGACTTAGATGTGGTATCGTTAAAAATTTGTTTTTTTCTAACTTTACATCGTCATTTAGTCTTCACTTGGGATGCGCCGAGAATTGCAGTACTTTACCATCGAGTTCATAATATCTTGACGAACCTCGGGTTTCACTATCTTCAGTAAATGGTAGTAAGAAATCTGAATTTTTTTACCCATTACTTGCTTAACAAGACCGGATACCGTTATATCGGTAATATTGGATAGACATTTATCTATTTCCAAACTCAATATTTCCGCAATCTCATCAGTGATAATTTGACATATTGTATTCCTATCATTATTCTCTTGTAGACCCTTTGGGTCATGACTTTGCAATAAATTTTGATGAACTGGCTCAATATTGTTATTAGCTTCGACCATTGTAAATGTTAAATTATTTTATTAATATGCAATAAAAAAATACAATATTAAATATATCATTATACGTAACAATGATAATTTTATCTTGCGAAATTAATAAAGTACCAGTTAAAATTATATTAGATTCCGGTGCTAATTGCAATGTATAGGTAAGAGGTTAGTAGATGAGTTGGGTTTGGAAATCGATAACCCTCATATAGAATCTGAAAAATCAGCACATATATTAACTACAGGAGATAGGCTACCAATAATAGGAATGCTCCATGAAATAAATCCCTCTTTTATTCGAAACATTCCTCAAGGATTATTTCATCAATCGTAACAAGGGCTTTAGAGTGGATAAATATTTATTGTTAACTTTTTTTGGCTAAAGATACAAAGTATATATAAATTATTTCACCATGCTAGTAAAGATAGTTAAAGCTAAAGTAGGAGGGCAAAAAGTTAATTGTCGCCTTGAACCAGGTTTTCACGGTCCTTCCATATGTAGTGATAAGCTCCTCAAAGAAATCAGTGGCAAAATTAGCAGAAAGTTGACTCCCGAAGAAAAAGATAGTAAATTCGTCAGAGAAGAAACCACAGCTCCACTTGGATTGGCCATAATCCCACTTACCTTTACTTCTAATATAAAAAATAATCTTTGTCTTAGTAATAAGAAATCTATCACAATTCCGACCGAAGTACTTGTAGAGAAATATGACCCTAAAACATCTAATTATATCCTGCTTGGCAATAATTGGTTCTATGGTTGAAGCAGAATTAATGATAAAATCAAATATTATTTATCAGAAATAGTGACAGATGTAAAAAATGCTTTTGTAAGAACTACATTGCGTATCAAAGATCTCAGCGGATCTGGGGTGGCAAAAACCAAAAAGAAGTCAAGGGTTATAGTATCGGTTAATAAAAGAGATATTCATGATTTTTACAAAATACTTCCTGGGAAATCGAAAGATTCACTGCCCCGCAGATCAAATATCTCTGCAACTTCTGATTCGGGCACTTCCGATTCGGATACTTCGGACAGCGATTCAGGTAATTCTTCCACATCTAGTTCGGGAATAGAAGTTATACATACGCATAAGACTGAAGCAGTAAGGAAACGCCCCATTCTAAAACGTAAAGTAAAGGGTAAAGTTAATTATTGAGTTATATCAAGTGGCGCCACATAATAATTTTTCGTTTAATGAATTATATTTACCTAATGTAGGAAAGCAAGTCGGCCTACCCGTCTGCCATATTTAATTTTTTCAGTTAGTTTAGAGGATTGTGCATCCAAATCTGAGACATATTCTTCCGATCTTGAGAATGTATAATTATTTATCAAGTTATTAGTTATTTTTTCGTGGTAATATACATTATTAAATATACTTAACATGTTCGTTGATTCTCTTGTCGAAGGAAAAATCCCAGTAAAAGCATTAATAGATACAACATCTAAATCCAATACTATTAGCAGGCGCTTGTTCGATAATCTTGAAGAAGATTATGAAATACGTCGTATCCTCGATCCTGTTGAGAAGTTCTATGGAGATGTAATAGGTGAAATAAAATGCTTAGATTTGCAATTCCACTATAAAGGAAAGTGGCGGAGCTTAGATGCCACCGAAGTAATAGTCTTTCAAATTTGCAAAAATCCATCATTCGATCTGGTGTTAGGACAAGGATGGTTATGGATGCATAAAGCAAAAATAAGCTTTGAATTTTCTCCCGAAGCCCGTAGCCACCATGCTAAAATTGTAATAGATAGTATAAGCATCCCATTAATCGAGGGAAATAGTAATAAAACCAGCATTAGTAAAAATAACTTATCTAAATCGACGGAATCTAAACCTGGTCTAGCTCAAGAGGAGGTTATGAATATAATTAACCAAATTCTCTTACATATCGAAGATAGACTCGAAGAGTCATTGCTTTGCAATAATAAACAACGAATATTTTGCAACATATCCCCTGCACCTCTACCATCCAGAAGATTAAATGATGATATACCTAAAAATAGCAGAGCTAGCAAGAATAAGAAATATCCTAAAGTAGATTTAGGCGATGGGTGTGGAAAGCTTTCAATAAAAACACACCTCAATAATATTTGGAAGTCGGTTCATTCTATAGAAGATGATATAGAGTATAGAATTTTTGAAAAACTTTGTATTATCGAGTATGAACTAAGTTGTATAAACAAAGGAAAGTTACCATGGATAAAATCTGAGACAGAGACTAGTTCATCCAGTTCCGATTCAGAATCCACGGACTCAGGCCGATATAAACTCCAAAAGGATCGCGTGCGTAATACAAAGAAAAAGGTTGTCTCTCCTATCCGAAAACATCGTAAACATAACCTGTCTAAATCAACGGAATCTAAACCTGGTCCAACTCTAGAGGAGGTTAGGATATAATCAACAAATCTCTCTCAGATGTCAAAGATAATAAGCACCGAAAGAGACAACATGGGATATTTGAATCGAAAAAAGCAGTAAGTATATAGGTAATATGGCTAAGTCTCGAAATAATATGTGTAAAAGAATGGGTAAGTTTACCGATATTCCCTCCCAGTATATGGATTTGCTTAATCCAAATAAATATGAACACATGTACAATCCAAAGAATAGCTTTGTTATAGTCAAAAATATACGTAAAGGTAGTATAGTGGGGGTGTTCGATTATTCTGAATTATAGCGGAGCTAGTGTCAAAGACACATATGTATACTTGGAAATGCACCACCCGTCGCTTCTGGCATAATTTCGTTTTGTAGTAAGATATTTATAAATCACGACATAGATAATCAGATTTTTCCAATTATAAAGTGGATGGGATTGTATAATATCCACCTATATCTAAATCCGGATTCAGCGTATCTAATGCCTCTTTGCTAATATTTACGCAATATTTTAAACCAAGATATTTTAGATCGGATAAATTATGTGCGATATCTTTGATGGCTATATCGGTTATAAGCCCGCAATATCCCAATTCAAGTTCTTGAATATAAGAACATTTTTTGGCTATTTTAGAAATAGATGAATCAGTAATAGATTCTGACCCGTAAATATTGAGATATTCCATATTGCGACATGATTGTGCTATTGCTTCTACTACCGTATCGGTGACATAACAAAATTCTAGGTTGAGATAACGAATATTTGGACATGATTGCACAATAATACATATCGTTTTATCATTAATAAATCCCAGGGAATTGAGTGCAAGATGTTCCAGATTAAGACATTGTGCGATTTTTCTGATGCCTATGTCAGTTATTTGTTCACAGTCGCTAAGATCTAATTCCCTCAGATCCGGGTATGAACCTACAAGAGTGTGGATTGTGGCATCGGTAAGCTTCTCGCAGTTATTAAAATTTAAAGATTGGATATTGGGATTGAATCGTGAAATTTCACATATAGATTTATCAGTAATACAACTTTTACCTCCGCCTATTCCTAGATGCTTTAAGCTGTAGCACGATCTCGCGATTTTATAGATAGACTTATCAGTGACATCTCCACTCCAACTAATTTCCAAATATTGTAATTTATTGCATGCCTTTGCAAGTTTGCTAATAGAATTATCAGTTAACCCTCTAGTGTTAGAAACATTAAGATGAATTAGGTTAGGATATGCCCGAGAAATCTTGATTAATGCTGTATCATCGAACCCACAACTTCGTTTGAAATCGAGATGAATTATATTTGGAAATATTTTGATGATTTTTTCAATTACCTGATTTGAGAGTTCATAGTAGTGTGTAATTTTGAGATATCGCACACTTGGAGCATAAATTGGTTTTGTTTTTCTATCCAATAGTCCCATAAACGTTTTCAGTTGTATTTCATATTTCTCGCCGAAGGCATCCCCGTTTCCTATCAATTCGATGCGACGCCATAAAATTGGGCCGGAACAAATAGACCAGAGTCTAGAAACGAACAAGGCGGGATATAATGCCTTATCTTCAGCTAAGAATTTAAAAATTTTCGTTAATAGTTCAGGTAATGCAAGTGCCATGGTAAATATATAGCAATGTAATAAAAACGCTTATTTTTTATGGTTAATTATCGAGCTTTCAATTAGCACCTTGTGCTTGCTCCGCTAATGCGTCTGACTGTATATAAAATCCACATCACGTTATAATGGGTCTCGAGGGAGCGATGTTATATAAAAATACATCTCATATTCACAATTTGTAAACATTCATTGCATTTTTTTCTTGCTAAATATAATAATTTCATTTCAAGATGGCACCCAAAAAATCCAACAAAAACCCCGATTCACAACAGTCGGAGAAGCCTACCAAATCAAGACCACCTCTTGTACGATTAGCTAAAGCCGATATTGAGTGCATCATTTATGCCAGAGACTTGAAAGGCGGATCTAAAAAAGTTTCGGAGTGGTACAAAATTGGCACGCAAAAGTGCAATAAAATTTGGAAATCTGAAGACCCATACTCATATGCTAACTCAATAGGCAAACCTAACTTGCCTGACTGGTACCCTAATAATACCAAAATCGAGAAGACGGAAATATCACCCGAACCGACACCTCAAGAAATAATTACACCCGAGGAACCCAAACCAGATCCCATCGAAGTAAAGAGGAAGAGAAAAACAACCGAGATGGAGAATATCGCGCGTCGAGTAATGAGATCCGAGCTAAGTAAACTGGTTATAGAAGAGTAGAGCGGGTAATTAGGCATTCACCAGCCTCCAGCTAATTTCGGACAAAGAATTTTTATTTGCTGTGTTGTATATATATCTGTGATAATTTCCCTTGCTTTACTTTTGATTCTAGACATGGACACCGACCGACGTTAGCCGATTTTTTGACGAAAACTTCATGTAATTGTTGAAGAGAAACATTCGGCAATAATGGTAGTCCCTCCCCTGTAAACCAAAATTTCTTTACTCCCCTATCAATGAAGTTCCCCAATACCACACCTAGATCATCTTCTAAGGGACCGTGAAATTCCTCAAACTTTTGGAGGTATACTCTTGCATTTTTATCAGCTTCTTCTGCCATTTCTTGATTAGTATAGCTAACAATACCAATTTTTTCCTGAATTGTCACTATATCATCTTCTAAGCATAAAAGCAAATCAAATAATCTAATTGGTTTATCTGAAGAGGCTTTATCCCTTCTAAGTTCCGCTTCTAAAATGGGATTGATATCTATACCAAGTTTTTCTTGTATAGGTATTAAATCACCCACCAATTCTAATAACAAT